CAAAGAGCTCACATGCTATGGTTAAAGATCCACTCACTCTTTGTACCCTTGCATTTGTTTATTGCTAGGCAAGCTCAGTAAGACACTATAAAATTGATAGAAATAAATTCTACTTTTCACCCTCAAGTCTTATTTGTAATTTCTATTCTCTAACATTCTTTCTAAGGAAGCGGTTGGCAGACATTTTAGGTCATGATCAATTTTTTCTAAAGGGTGACATCTTTTCTTGACTTTGTTTCTTGTGCAACAGAAACAAATGTTTGTTCATTCTTTCATTCGTATACTCATATTTATTGAGCACCTATTATGTGCCTCTGTTCTAGTACTGGGTACAAAGCAGTATCCAAAATAAAAAAAAATTTAAAACTTACTCTCAGAGAGCAACACCAATGCTAATGGGTGTTAGTCACTGAGGTTAAATAAAATGCGGTTAGTGCCAAGAAGTCAATAGAAAAATAAAAATTGGGAGGGGGGAGAGGAACTATTAGGCAGAAAGACAGTTGCTATATATTCATATATGCCTTTTTATATATGAATGCAACCTTTTTGAGAGGGGTGGGTGATTCAGTTGGACATGAGCCACTATGACCTCTGTAGGGACCACAGAGGCCTTACTGAGAAATTAACATTTAAGATGAGTCTCTACTGCGATGATCCTGTTTATGTCTTCAGTTAGTAGTGCTGGGGCAGAGGAAATCCTAAATATGCCTATTTATAGAGTAACTTCAACAATGTTAAGGACACTAGGAGCTAAAGCTGCTCATCTGCCAACAAAGTGCTGGCTGCTTATGGTTTGAAAGACTTTTGTGAGTTCTCTATAGAGGTCATGGTGGCTCATGTCCAACTGAATCATCCACCTCTCTTAAAAAGGTTGCACCTTTGCCCGGCTGGCATTGCTCAATGGTTGAGCATCAACCTATGATCCAAGAGATCGTGGTTCGATTCCCAGTCAAGGCACATGCCCTGGTTTTGGCTCGATCCCCGGTAGGAGGAGTGCAGGAGGCAGCCAATCAATGACTCTCTCATCATTGATGTTTCTGTCTCTCTCTCTCTCCCCTGCTCTCTCTCAAATCAATAAAGATATATTTTTAAAAAAGGTTGCATCTTTGCAGTCAATTTCGTGGCTCTGCAGTCGCCCTAGTGATATAGGCATTCTTGACAAGACTACTGACTGGTGGGCAGGCACCCATCTAGAATGACTTGGCTGGAGGAGTTCTGGGTTCTCTCTGTTTCTAGGGCCTTTGCTGCTGCCTGCATAGATATTCCTCAGTAGGAAAATATCAATAGAAATGACAGTAAGCTTGGCAACTTTATTTCTCTAACTTTAAAATGTTTTTGGAAATTGATTTTATCTTTGTACCTAAGCGTCTGTTGTTCAAAGGACCCCATTTATGACAGTGGGAAGCACTTTGAGAAGATGCCAAACATTGCTTAGACCCACATTACCTACTGCCTATCAATATCTGGAATATATGAATGTTTGTTTAGTCACTGTCTCCCCTCCACCAGAATGTAAACAACTGGAGGGCAGGAAGCCTATTTTAGTTACCACTGTTAACCCCAGTGCCACTAAAACTAAAACAATGCCAGTCATGTAGTAGATGATCAATAAATATTTGCCTAATTGAATAACTAACAAACTTCAAGCAATGTGGCAACAAGCAACACAATGAGCAACTATATGATGGTATTTTATGGATTATCTGAAGATCAAGAAATGGAGATGTTGACCACTATCAGTAGGGCCTGGACTTTGATCTCAATCATTGCTCTCTCTTCTGTGTCAATCTGCCTCTCAAGAGAAACTCACGCTCCTTAATGAGTATGCAACCTGGCTTGTCATCCCCTCTCTGCCACTACCCATCTGTGACCTTAGACATGGCTTTGGATCTCTGTGGGCCTATTTAAGCTCTCACAGATTCTCATTTTATAACCTGGAAAACCCAGCACCTGCTGGTTATTTGTGTGAAGCAAGAACACCTTTCTAAAGGAAGTGGAGCAAGCACCTGCTTCTGAAAATTACTTTTTATAAGGAAGTCTGTTTTTGCTCAAGGCAGTTAAGTCAATTCTGTACCTGGGAGGCTCATAAACAACATTCTTTTTGAATTATTGACTTTAATCTGTTTATAAAAAACACAGGGATCACTATTACTTAACATTTGTATTTTTATATGATTGCCCATCTGTCATCTCCCACACACAAAAACAGATATGAAGTATAGAGAATTGAGAGTAAAATATGACTTAAAACATGATGTCACTCTCTTGGAAATAGAGAGGTTATCATGAGATGTGATTGCAGAATTAAAATTGGAACTAGTAAGAGAAGATCTGGTAAAAGAAAGTCAATAAGAAGCAACATGAGCAAAGATGTTCAGTGCTGTATATTTTTTATTAGTGAAAACTAAAAATAAATTTCCATCAATAGGAGTCTGACTAAACTATGATACATTTATACTATAGAAAGTGATAAGATAGTTAGGGAGAATAATATGATATATCATATCATATCAAGACACAATATTGAGAGAAAAAGAAGGTAGGTTATAGAATATTTCCAGTATAATCCCATGTGTGTGTATAGGAAAGAAAACAAAGCATATGTTCTGATCTGACATGTGTGTGAACTCATTGAGAAAGGTCTGGGAGGAATAAAATTGTTAATGCTATCTCTGGGATTGAAGTAGGGTTGGTGGAACTTTATTACACCTAAAATTACTGGAGAAGAAAAGATGTGTGACAGAGAAATTGGGATACAAGGTAAGATTTGAGGTCAGAAGGAAGAAGATGAAGCACTTTAAGGTAGCAAGTCCTGCCAATTTTCACCATATTCTGTGATGTTTTGTGAGTGATGATTTGGAGATTGTGCAGTGGTTTTAGGATGGCCTATAAACATATCTGCACTACTCCAAAAAGCATGACTAGAGCAGAAGACCCCCAAATAGACAAAACTCAAAGGATTTTTCATAGAATTTTCACATGTACCTTCTTTTTGTCTATTTGTAAACATTGGGTAGGGAAAATTTCATATCTTTAGGAAATACGGATTTACTTCTATCCCCATATGAATAATTCTGCCACAGTAATAAAGCAGTTGTATCTATCACAAAAGTTGTTTCCCCAGCTGGTGACTTTATTTCCACTTAGTTGGATTTGTTCATTTAGTCCATAATTTCCACTTAGTTGGATTTGTTTACTTAGTCCATAATTTTTATTGAGCCTCTGTGTGCAACTCTGTGACCTGGCAGAGAACAGTCAAGTCCTCTGCTCTCATGGAGCTTACAGTCAGGGGGTGGAGGGGAATGACAGTAGAAGCTAAAAAATATCAGGAAGTGAGAACTCCTCTGATGAAAATTGAGCAAGGTGATGTAATAGTGTGTATGGGGAACTACTTTAAGGTAGGTAGTTAGGAAAGACCTCTTGAGGAAGTAATTATAAACCAAGGCATGCAACAAGATAGGAAGGGGCCAGATGGGTGATCATTTGGAGGATAAACATTTTGGGCAGAGGGACTAGAACAAGCACCATTAGGGTGTGCAAGAGCTTGTAGGACTCAAAAGCTTTCTGCATGGTCGGGAGAAAGATAAGTGAGAGAAGTCTACAAAACAGGAATATGTCTTCTGTAAGGACAAGGTAAGGACTTTGAATCTTATTCTGGATTTGATGGGCAGCTATTTTTGATAGGTTGGGAGACTAATTAAAGGAATCTGATTTAAATTTATAAAAAAAACCTAAATACTTTTCCTTTGGAAAACAGAGGAGGACCAGGTGGGAGAAGATGGTGACTTAGAATAGGGTGGTAGGTATAGATATAAACTTGCTAATAGGTAAAAGGTAAGGAAAATAGAATCAGAATTGACTCCTAGATTTTGTAGCTTCAGCTATTGGAAGGTATATTTCCTGAGATGGGGAAAACCAGAGAAGAACATATTTGGGGGAAATCAGTGTCTGTTTTGGATATATCAGGTTATGATGCCCACTGGACATATGTCAGATAGGCAATAAGATATGCTAGCCTGGAGTTCAGGGAAAGGTCAGGAATAGAGATCCATGTGGGAGCCACCTACATATATAATGATGGTATTGAAAACCGTGAAAATGACTCCAAACTCTCACATTCATCCCATGCCTGTGTACCCTACTCTTTATGTAGGTAAAACTCACCGAAGCATACTGCTTATCTCTAGGCCGTCCCTTTTCTGACCCTGCTTTTGCTGTTGATGGTTGTTTTGAAGCTTTACAATGTGAAGGACAGTGGGAGAACAGTAGAAAGACACTGTGATGGGCCTGTAATCACTGTGACAAGAGTGCTTCTCATTTGTTTAGCTCTTCACATTTTAATCATTACCGTATTTACTAAAGCTAAAAACTGAGTTTAAAGTGAGCAGACCGTTGTTTAGATAGATTCTAGATTTATACTGTGTTCTTCAGTTATGATAAGCTAATCATAAATTTACATTGCTGTTATAATATAAATATTATATGCTGATGTAAGTTACATGAAACAAAATTTTTAGTGCTATTGATTGTTCATAGTTTCACATGCCATTGTGTACTTTGTTGAGATATAAACACAAACTAAATAAAAATAAACTATGAAAATGTGTCTTTACTTCCAGATAATATTCCCATTTTGAGTTTCACATTTATTTTTATTGGAATAATGCATGGATATTTTACATTTTTATCTGTTTTTATCAGTAGTATCCTTATACGACTTTATCCTTATAATAAAAACAATCTTCAATTATTTTTATGCTTTGAAAACCCTTTCCTATCCCCATGTTTGCTGCTAGTTTATGACTGATTTTTTTTTTTTTACTTATAGATCCAATTGGATTTACTGTGTTGTTAGGATGAAGTACAAACTTTTTTATGTTTTTGTTTTTTAATCCTCAGAGGACTTTGCAGTAAAAAATATAATTGAGCCCTTATTTGTCTTGAATTATTCTTGCTCACTGCAGATAGCTGTCCAGCCCTCCTGCTTTCACACGTGAGTTCAAGGCCATGATCTAGTAGGACAACGGAATTCACGTCAGCCCTGAGTCTGGAAAGATGGTGTCACAGCTTTCGGGCCAGCAGGATTCTCCTGTGGACCCCTGGGAAGGGGTCAGCGATGACTCTGGTGACAATGATGGTTCGCCTCGCCTCCTGGACATTGACTACTCGCCTTGCCCATCAGACATCAGGTTCAGGAGGCACAAAGCTGCCTGGATTAACCCCCAGGATATGCATCCTCAGCTGCACGATTTGCCCCTTCACGTGCCAACAGTAGGGAACAGTGGCAACAACACTGTGAGGGATGCTACCTCTCCCTTGGGCACTTCACCTTTGTCTCTTGAGAACTCCATGGTGGAGACATCGCTGTGGAAGGACAGTGTGGGCATGGGCAGCTTAAGTGAAAAGAGCAGTGACTTTTCTTTTAACTCAACACAAGAGCAGGCAGTGCTCCCAGGACGTTCTCCTCAGATGTCTCCATTCACAAGCTCCAAGGTTTTGGCTGCTTCCTTATGTTCTGAGGCTGACAGTGCTTGTTTCAATCCTTCTCACCTGACGGCTTCCACCGGTGAAGGTAACTTTAGTCAGGGACTTCCCTCATTCCTGTCCATTCACACACTTGCTTTGTCTTGGTCTAAAGGTCTAAAGCCTGTCTGTCTTCCTCAAAAAAAAAAAAAAAAGGTCACCTGTTTCCACCTTGGCCAGAAGCCAGTGCATTAGCACATTTAATATCGTCTTTGGCCCATCCACCTGAACTGTCACAGCCAGTGAAATCAAACATTTCCTTTCTCCTTACACTGCATGGAAATGCCATTTTAGCTCAACTTAGTTGATAATCAATGCCACCTGCCAATATTGAGCTGGCGTGTACCTTCAGGGACTTTCAGTTTATTAAATTGTCTCAAGGCAGGGCATGAGAAGTACTCTCAATTCACTGTGCTGGTGTTTCCAGACAGAGCGGGCTCCATTGCACACCAGTCCTTACTAGGAGATGAACTTGCCTTACCTGTTATATTGACCTGGCTAGAGTGTGATTAGAAAATAGATTTAAAAACAGTAACCATAATTCCCCAAAGTCTATACAAAATTTTTTATTTTATTTTTATTTTTTTAAATATATTTTTATTGATTTCAGAGAGAGGAAAGGAGAGGGAGAGAGAAAGATAGAAACGTCAGTGATGAGAGAGTCATTGATCTGTTGCCTACTGCACGCCCCCGACAGGCAATCGATTCTGCAACCCGGGCATGTGCCCTGACCGGGAATAGAACCCCAGTCACTTGGATCCTAGGTCGACGCTCAACTGCTGAGCCCCGCCCAGCCAGTCTATACAAAATCTTTTTTAAAAAATTAAATCAAGGGCTCCCATTGCTATGAGGTAATGCACATGTTCCTAAAATACTGAAATTCCTAAAAGGAGATCATTCTTGCAAAATGTCACTCAAGAGTCAATAAGTTAGCTATTGTTGTTATAATTTGTAGCATGCTTATTTTATTTTTAAATATTCAGTATGTTATATTCACACTTTGCATTAATTTATATTTCTGTTAGAACGCTAGTTCAAATAGTCAATGAAGTTTTTTCTGTCAAAACAATTTTAAAAGCTGCCTTCCTGCCTATGGTGTGTGTGTGAGTTCAGACGTGTGTATGTTTGTACATATTTATTTCTCACTAGCAGGAACCAGTCTTCCCCTTTCCTAAAATGTGGGTCTTATTTGTTTTATTGGAAACCTTGAAAAATCAAAGATGATGGCAGTCTTTAACATATTAAGTATTGCTTAAGAATAGCAGATTTTGGACAAACTTTCAATGGACTAACTTTAAGATAAGAACCAAAGCTGAGCAAAATAAAACACTCTGATTATAGGCCTTTTTTCTATCTTTTAGCTCATCTGCTGGGATAGCTCTCAGGCAAAGAGTAATTTGCAAATTTAGGAGTTGCTAAGTAAGAGATTAGTCTCCTACTAGATTGTCTCAGAGGGGAGAGCGAGGAGAACATGGAGAAAAGGGAAAGCTCTCTCCCCTGAAATCCACCACCACCCTGACAAATTATATAGTGACAGAAGGTAACCTTTAGGGCCTAGTATACCCCTCCCCCAAATCATTTGTTGTATCACTGCATAAGAAGTGGTTCTGCAATTTTAAATTATCCTGTAGCTTTGTCCTTATAGAAAACAGGCACATCAGCCCTTTTTTGTCCAAAAACAGTGACCTCAGCAATTTCTCTAAATATCTTTTAAAAATCACTCCATCTTTTGGAGTATTCCTTCAACTTGGTAAAGGAACTCATTCCATGTGATTAAAAAAAAAGCCCTGAGTGATCTGGTTCTTTCTGTTTCTTGTGTGGGGCAGCAATGGGGAGAACAGGCATTTGCCTCTACGACATGGGATTTTCCTGTGACTGTTGCATCTCAGTGGCAACAGCAGGGTTTTCCTGTCCAAGATAAAATGGTAGGGAAAGACCACTTGAGTTGTCAGAAACAATTCCACAGTTCCTTCGTTTGCATAGGATGTACACATTTACAAGGCACTTTCACATTCTTTACCTCTTTTAACCTAATAGGTAAGTGTCCCAGTTCAAGGGATGAGGAAATTTTAATGCAGAGGCACTGAGAGTGCATGGAGAACTGGAACTGGAATCCATTCTGATTCATCTCTGTGCTTTTCTCTATACTCAGGGTCCAAAAACTATGACTAGGTCAAATTTGGCCAGCCTCCTGATTTTACAAATACCACTTTGCTTGCTTTGTGTATAGCTGCTTTCTCACTAAAGTGGCAGAACCAAGTAGTTGGGACCAATGTCGTATGGACCTCAGATCCTACAATATTTACTACCTACTTGCTCTTTTCTGAAAAAGTTTGCCCACCCCAGATGGCTTCTGATGCTAAGAAGTTCAGAGTTTTCCATGGAACAGTGTCTTTCTTGAAGATGAGGTGAGGAATTTGAGGGATATTGCTTGTCTCTCTGTTTGTCACCCTGAGGAGTGTATAATCATCAAGACATTGGTAGCATTTTCTTCTAATTTAATGAATTGGGACAACCCAGCTCATATGGCTCTCACAGAAATGTTTTGACTTAAATCCTGCAATAAGAAATCACATGACAGAAATCATTTGTGTTTTGTTGGTGTTCATTGCCATTAATGGAGTAGCTTAAGGGTACAGAGTAGATGAATTACCTAAATATAACTTCTGCAGTCTTCTTGTTTTTGATTGGAGGAAGCATTGCTTTAGAGAAACTCTGCTAACCTTTTTCAGATACTTTGTTTCTGCAAACAGGAAGCTGTGGGTCAATTGCAGTGAGTTGGAGAAGTGGTTCCATGAATCTTATGGCTGTTTCTAGACTGTTTCTTCTCACCTTTCTCCGTCTCTTTTAAGTAGTTTCCATGACCCTCTTCTCTTTCTACCCTCTTTGCCTCATTGATCTCCTCCATTCCAGTGGTTCTTCCATGTCTTCTCTGTTGTTCCATAGCCTCTCATAGAAATGATCACCATTAAGGCAGTATCTGTAGGCCTTACCACCAGAAGGGTCATTCTTTTTTTGTCACCCTAATTTATTCTAGAGTTGGACTAATTAAAAGCCAACAACAATATTTCAAAGCCACTCCCCAGAATTATTTTGTATCCTTAAATAATCTTTGGGCTTCTTTTTCTCCATTTTTAATAACTTGCTGTATTGTCAGGTGCTGTTCAAGTCGATGGAAGAAGCATTTCTTTAAATTCCTTCTCACCAGAAGCATTTGTGCTTCCTGTTGATGTAGAAAAGGTGAATATATCTTTTTTCTTTTTATAAACCACAGAGAGTGTTAATCCTTTAGATAGTGTTGTGATTTAAATTTGGAAATTTCACTTGATGAAGCATGGTAAGTAGGCTTCATTTCAGCATTTGATTGGTAGAGGGTAGAGGCTGCCAGGAGCCCCAAGCTGAGAAGGGTTCTCAGGCAGTGTCTACACTCAGCTGGAAAGTCTGCCATAATTGATGAATGATGTCAACCATTGGGCTACCACCAACCTAGGGTATTATATCACAAGAAATTCAAATTGGGTTGTCTATTGATTACAGTGGGCCAAATCTTTGTCTGAAAGATATGAGCTATACTTTACATAATGACCTATGATAATTCAGTTAAATGAACATTTATATTTCTATGCATTAACTGCACGTAAATACAGCTTCTTGATTTTTTAACCTATACACCACAATGAAAAAAAAGTTGATTATACTTTTGTATTTTAATTGTTAATTTTTTTTTCTGTAGGAAAACGCCCACTTTTATGCTGCAGATGTGATTATATCAGCAATGGAGAAAATGAAGTGTAACATCCTGAGTCAACGGCACACAGAGAACTGGAGTGTAGAAGAAGTCAGTGGGTCACTTGGGAATGATCAAGGTGACTCTGAAGTGAGCTTTTACACCAACATAAAGCAAGAATCTGGGTCTTCCATTTTCTCAGACAGTGGCTATGAAGGCAAGTGGAGCAAATTTGAGAAAGCTTTATGCTATAATCTCCATACATATGTATCTCCTCTGTCAAATCTGGAAGTACATCTTTAAATTCTTTGTCTAAAACTTCTTGAATTACCTCTATCACCCTCACCATTTCTGTCATTTGGGCTTGGGATTGGTTAGCATGCCCCATTCTGTGGTTAAGTCAATGTGTGTTTTTTTCCTTGGACTTCACCCTAATTTTCCTTTTGGCAGTGGCTGAAGTTTTCCCTCTTCCTTTGTTTTCTGTCTCATAGCATTCTCCTAACTCTTCTTCCTTTCCAAGTAGTCCTCTTTTATTCATTCCACAAACAAGGAGCCTGTGAGGTGCTGCATGCTGGGCGTCAATATGCAACAAGGTGTGCTGCTTCCCTCCAGGAGCTTGCATGGTAGAGCCCAGGCTGACGAAGCCATGCGGGATCACTCAGCTAATAGGCAGGGACCCAGTGAGTGGTTCACAGAGTAGAAGGAACTCCAGGAAGTCCTTCTTGGAGGGGAGGGTACCTAAGCTGAGAACTGAAGGTAGGGCCTGTCATTGTCTTACCATTTCTTAAGTGTGAGTCCTGCTTCAGTCCTATATTCTTCTTTTTCTATATTCTCTTCCCTGAGACTTTTATCCACTGCAGCATTTTTCCATTATTCCTTCTTGGTGATATCTCTAAAATCTGTTTTTTCAGTCCTGCACCTCTGTTTGTAGTCCTTGCTCCATGTGGCTGGGACCTGTGGAACATGTCCACCTGAATGGCCTGCCAGGATCTCTAACTTAACATGTCTAAACTAGTCATCTCTTTATCACTCCCTCACAAGCCCATTTCTCGGGGAGAAAAACAAAAAAACTCATGCTTGCTTTTCCTTTTAACTTCCTTTACCTAGCTTTTTAATCAGGACCCTTTCAGGAGGGAAGAACTCACTCCCTGTGGTACATATGTAGCACAATGCCTGGAATAAAATAAGTGTATAATGAATTGTTGTTGAATCCATTACCTGGCTCAAATTAAAAGGAATTTTTAAGAAAGTATATAGAGCATCTTCATTGAATCCAGTGGTGGGAAGTATAAAACTGACCAGTAAAGAGGCAGCTCTGTCATCTGTCTCTTTGGGGCTTTGTGGCCTCTCATCACTTCTCTTCATGCAGTTGCTTCATTCCCCTTTTCCACAGCCTGACTTCCACCCTACCCACCCCCTAGCACCTGGTTTCATCTTCCATCTCCCTGACCTCTCAGTCAGGACCTCACAGCTCAACTTAGTCTTGCTGGATTCCAAATCTAGGTTACCAGGAAGAGCATGTAGTGACACCTGCTTTGATTGGGTGTCCACAGCTGATCAGCTAGCTGTGTGGCCAGTGGGGCCAGGGAATGTAGTATAAATCATCATCCCCTCTGAGGCCACCAGTGGAGAGAAGAGACTTGTGGTTCATATTTTGGCACACCACACTCTGTCTTTGACTCTTCTTCCTTGTGCCTGTGCCCCTGTCCTGTTTCTAGTTAGTGAACAAATCAGTTCCAACTTCTCAGTAAGTGACATCCACTCCATCCATTCCCCATTCCTGCTTTTTACCTGGACCACCACAGCAGCCTTCTGGCCAGTTGTTTTGTAAAAACTTCATTTAGTTCCTCCATATGTATCTGCTGCCTTTAATTTTGTCTGCTTTCAAACTCTTTCCCTTTATTATTGATCTTACACACATCTGTCTCGCTAGAATACAACTTATAGTCTGCTAAAATGGGCTTCTGAGTTTCTTCCACATTTAATTCTGGAATTTTTAGCTTTGTGGGATCCAACTTCTCGGTACCTTTTCAGCAGGCATCTCTTCCACTTCCCAGTGTTGAACTGTGGGTTTCAGTTATCTAGCTTGTTATACTTGCTCGTAGATAGTTCTCAAAAGCTCCGACCTCCCTCCCTTTATTTCAGCTAAGCTCTCGTGGAACACACATTAGTTCCTTCATCCTTTCCATTCTTCAAAAGCAGCTTCCTGCCACCAGCAATGTGACATGTTCCCTGATTTTTAAAACAGGGGAGGAGTACCATTCATGTGAGATGAAACATAAGTTGTGCTCCAGAATGCTCTCTAATTGTTTAGGTGCATGGCTCACCCTAGAATTGTGCAGTGTGGAGCTCTGCCTCTGAACTTCTTAAGGCCCATGGCACATAACTGTGTTTCTTTGTGGTCAAGTGTATCAGTGTCTCAGTTCCTCATAAGAATTTAAATTCTTTTGATAGAGGAGATTTGTCTTATTTGTATAAGCATAGTGCCTTGCTTGAAATGGGTATTTTATAAATATGTGTTGAATAGTTGGATACTAATGTTTAGATGAAATTTTTAAAAATGTATGTTAAAGAATTTTAAAAATATTTTTACCATCCAAATGAAATATTTATCTTTTATTAAGTATCACACTTTTAAAGTTTTTTATTCTTTTTTATTGCTGATGGTACTACAGCTATATCCCATTTTCTCCCTTTTTGCCTCCCTTCACCCAACCCCTGACCCACCCCAGGCCTTCTCCATACTATTTTGTCTGTGTCCATGGGTTATGCATATATGCATATAAGTTCTTTGGTTAATCTCTTCTTATCTTCGCCCCACCCCAGCACTAGATATCTGTTATTCTGTTCCATGCATCCATACATCTGGACCTATTTTGTCCATAAGTTGATTTTGTTCATTAGACTCCACATATAAGTGAGATCATATGACATTTGTCTTACTCTAACTGGCTTATTTCCTTTAGCATAATAGTCTCCAGGTCCATCACATAGTATTCCATTGTGTAAATGTACCAACTTCTTTATCCACTTATCTACTGATAGGCACTTGGGCTGTTTCCAGATCTTAGCTATTGTAAATAATACTGCTACGAACATAGGGGTGCATATATCCTTTCTCATTGGTGTTTCAGAATTCTTAGGATTTATTCTGAGAAGTAGGATCACTGGGTCAAATGGCAGCTCCATTTTTAATTTTTTGAGGACACTTCATCTGTTTTCCACAATGGCTGCACCAGTCTGTATTCCCACCAGCAATGTACTAGGGTTCCCTTTTCTCTACATCCTTGTCAGCACCTGTTTGCTGATTTATTGATGGCAGCTATTCTGGCAGATGTGAAGTGGTATCTCACAGTCATTTTAATTTGCGTATCTCTAGTGATTAGTGATGTTCAGCATTTTTTCATATGTCTATTGGCCATCTGTATGTACTTTCTTTTTTTTAATATATCTTTATTGATTTCAGAGAGAGGAAGGGAGAGGGGAAGAGAGAGATAGAAATATCAATGATGAGAGAGTCATTGATCGGCTGCTTCCTGCAGGTTCCCTTCTAGGGATCGAGCCCACAACCCTGGCATGTGCCCTGATGGGAATCAAATTGCGATCTCCTAGATCATAGGTTGAGCATTGATGTCTGAGATTTCACTGCTATGTTTTCTCCTAGGATTTTTATGGTTTCACAACTTACATTTAAGTCTTTTATCCATTTTGAGTTTATTCTTGTGTATGGTATAAGTTGGTGGCCTACTTTCATTTTTTTTGTGTGTACCTGTTTTCCCAGCACCATTTGTTGAAGAGACTATCTTTAGTCCATTGTATGCTTTTACCACCTTTCTCAAATATTAATTGACCATATTGGCATGGGTCAATTTCTGGGATCTCTCTTCTTTTCCATTGGTCTCTATGCCTGTTCTTGTGCCAGTACCAGGCAGTTTTGATTACAATGACTTTGTAGTATAGTTTGATATCTGGTATTGTGATCCCTCAACTTTGTTATCCTTTCTCAAAATTGCTGTGGCTATTCAGAGTCTTTTTTGGTTCCATATAAATTTTTGGAGTATTTGTTCTAGATCTGTGAAATATGCTGTTGGTATTTTAATAAGGATCACATTGAATGGGTTGATTGTTTTGGGTAATATGAACATTTTAATGATGTTAATTCTTCCAACCCATGTACACGGTATGTGCTTCCACTTGTTTGTATTTTCCTCTATTTCCTTTTTCAATATCCTATAGTTTTCTGAGTACAGATCTTTTATCTNCCACCAGCAATGTACTAGGGTTCCCTTTTCTCTACATCCTTGTCAGCACCTGTTTGCTGATTTATTGATGGCAGCTATTCTGGCAGATGTGAAGTGGTATCTCACAGTCATTTTAATTTGCGTATCTCTAGTGATTAGTGATGTTCAGCATTTTTTCATATGTCTATTGGCCATCTGTATGTACTTTCTTTTTTTTAATATATCTTTATTGATTTCAGAGAGAGGAAGGGAGAGGGGAAGAGAGAGATAGAAATATCAATGATGAGAGAGTCATTGATCGGCTGCTTCCTGCAGGTTCCCTTCTAGGGATCGAGCCCACAACCCTGGCATGTGCCCTGATGGGAATCAAATTGCGATCTCCTAGATCATAGGTTGAGCATTGATGTCTGAGATTTCACTGCTATGTTTTCTCCTAGGATTTTTATGGTTTCACAACTTACATTTAAGTCTTTTATCCATTTTGAGTTTATTCTTGTGTATGGTATAAGTTGGTGGCCTACTTTCATTTTTTTTGTGTGTACCTGTTTTCCCAGCACCATTTGTTGAAGAGACTATCTTTAGTCCATTGTATGCTTTTACCACCTTTCTCAAATATTAATTGACCATATTGGCATGGGTCAATTTCTGGGATCTCTCTTCTTTTCCATTGGTCTCTATGCCTGTTCTTGTGCCAGTACCAGGCAGTTTTGATTACAATGACTTTGTAGTATAGTTTGATATCTGGTATTGTGATCCCTCAACTTTGTTATCCTTTCTCAAAATTGCTGTGGCTATTCAGAGTCTTTTTTGGTTCCATATAAATTTTTGGAGTATTTGTTCTAGATCTGTGAAATATGCTGTTGGTATTTTAATAAGGATCACATTGAATGGGTTGATTGTTTTGGGTAATATGAACATTTTAATGATGTTAATTCTTCCAACCCATGTACACGGTATGTGCTTCCACTTGTTTGTA